CGTCAAGATATCATCAATTTACTGTTGAGCTGGTTAGATTGTAGCTTGTAGAATTACCTTCCGCTTCCATTCTTTCCTGCCAACTATAATCTCCAAAATTTTAAAAGCAATCTTAATCGCTATAAACTATCCGCCCCACTAATCTTTTCTCTTGCTGCTCATTATTCATATTTCTGTTCCTAATTACTCCACACCTTATAAACCCTTGCGTCTTAGTGACTTTACTGTCGTGCTTTGGGTGATGTAAATTAATATATATATATATATATATATATATATATATATATATATATATATATAATTTCAACTGTCCTAGCAATGGATTCAGTATAGTCTTTCCAGCTGAGAACGTTATTCCGAGAGGGCACTACGTAGCACTTTCCTCGAGGTAGGCATCTGTCATACTGAATAGATGCAGAGTGGGGTCTCTCAATTGATTAATGGAAAGAAGGTCAGGAGATGTTAAAATTAACATGCTATTTTCTTCCTCATTTTGCGGACGTTTTGGACATTCGCTGCCATTTTGAACTTGTCTGACTGGTCAGCCTTACTATAACAGCAGGAGTAAGTGGTTGTGTCATCAGCGTAGATGGCAAGTTGAGACCTGATGTCATCGGGAAGGTCATTAATGAAAATTAAAAACAGAGTAGGACTAAGGAAGGAGGCCTGGGGGACTCCCGCGTTATTACAAAAGGATCTAGACGAGTGGCCGTTCAGGATAACCTCTATTTCGCGATTTGATAGGATCAGTTCAAAAATGTGTCCATAGACCTTAACTTTTCTGCTTGTGGAAAGAACCTGTATACCAGACCATGTCAAAATCTTTCGAGATGTTCAATGCTAAATCAGGGCTTCACCGTTTTTCTCTAGAGCGTGATAGATTTTTCCGAAATTATCACCTGTACATCAGCAGTCGACCAGGAGAAACGAAACTCATATTGCTTGTCAAAAAAGGGCCCTACGATGAGAGATGAGGAAGTAATTTAGAATTGATTAGGACCCTAGGAACATCCAAAACGTTAAGGTAGAAGTTTAATAGGCCGATATAGTTAGAAGGGTCAGACAGTTCCCAAAAATTAGAACAACAGACGGTGACAACCAACAGACAGGAAAGCCTGGGGCAGTCATTTATTAAACAGTTTAGAGAGAACATGAGTTAGTAAACGTCTTAATGAATATTACAGGGATGGCATCGGACAATGGGGAAAATTATATGACAAAGTGTGCAAGGCTTATTTGTGATGAATTTCCTCCTTCAGGACTTCATCGGACTAAATTTGTTATGTTGGTACGACTACACATGCGCACGAACGATGAATGCTAGGAACTTTAGAATTATTTAAGAATTTTCAAATATATATATATATATATATATATATATATATATATGAATAAAAATGATAATAGGAAAACTTGTAATTGCTGACGCATTTCGTCCAATGTGGACTTTATCAAAGCAAAATACGAAAATGAAATTTCTTTGATAAAGTCCACATTGGACGAAACGCGTCAGCAATTACCAGTTTTCCTATTGTCATTTTTATTCATAAATATTGTCTTTCTAGTGGTTAAATCGGAGAAATTTATATATATATATATATATATATATATATATATATATATATATATATATATGTGTGTGTGTGTGTGTTTGTGTGTGTGTAGCCAAATTTAGTGACTTTTTCTTTCCATGACTTTTGTAAGTTGGTATCACACACGGTGATAATAGAAGATCTACCAGGAATGGTAAAATGTTGTAAGAGCCAAAGCGTACATTTACTATAGATAATCTTTTGATATATATATATATATATATATATATATATATATATATATATATAATGAACTCTCCCGTCGAATTCGAGGTATGAGAACCGAGAATCTCAGTCTTTTTTATATTTGTGACGTATGTGACATTTTAGTCCAACTAGTGACCTGCATATAAGTACACACGTCCAACTGCGAGGGGTCTCAGGACATAGCATATATATATATATATATATATATATATATATATATATATATATATATATATATATATATGGCTGTGTGTGTGTGCGTGTAAAATAGATAGGTTAGTTAATAAAACAAGGACAACCGAAAGGGTGCCAGTATAATCAGTACGATAAATATTTATTAAATATTAATTATTGACAATAGGACAGAAATGAAGCATGGAGAGAAAGGTTTAAATTTCGGAATTTTCTGACACGCCTGTGTCCTTCATCAACGCACCGAGGAATAAACAGGGAAATGGGAATTACTCACCGACAGATGTTTTTGTAGACGGTGTATTTTCCAGTAGGAATCGTATTGTTCGCAAAAAGACAATTTCTGTCTAATTCCTCGACGTGCGAAACTTTTTTATGAAAATAAACTTAAATTTAAAATTTTGATCGATGTAAAAGCATTAGGCGGGTCCCTTATTACTAGTATGTGTCGTGGGAGGGAGATATTATAAACATAGATGAAGTGAGTTATAGCTTATGGAGGGTGAAAG